TTCCAGATGTTCCCAGTCCCATTCCAGGTGTTCCAATTCCCTTTCCAGGTGTCCCATCCCATTTTAGGTGTCCCCATTCCCATTCCCATTGTCCCTCCTCCCATTCCTGGTGTTCCCATCCCACTTCTGGTTTCCCCATTCCCAGTTCTTGGTGTTCCCATTCCCATTCCAGGTGTCTCCATTCCCATTCCTATTGTCCCCATTCCCATTCCAGGTATTCCCATCCCACCTCTGTTTTCCCTATTCCCATTCCAGGTGTGCCCATTCAAATCCCAGATGTTCCCATTCCCATTCCTGGTGTCCCCAACCTGCTCCCAATGTTCCCATTCCCAATGTTCCCATTCCCAGCCCAGGCAACCCCATTCCCATTCCTGATGTCCCCATTCCCATTCCAGGTGTCCCCATTCCCATTCCAGGTGTTCCCATTCCAGGTGTCTCCATTCCAATTCCAGGTGTTCCCATTCCAGGTTTCTCCATTCCAATTCCAGGTGTTCCCATTTCCATTCCTGGTGTCCCCATTCCAATTCCAGGTGTTCCCATTCCAGGTGTCTCCATTTCAATTCCAGGTGTTCCCATTCCAGGTGTCTCCATTCCAATTCCAGGTATTCCCATTCCAGGTGTCTCCATTTCAATTCCAGGTGTTCCCGTTCCCATTCCTGGTGTCCCCATTCCCATTCCAGGTGTCTCCATTCCCATTCCAGGTGTCTCCATTCCAATTCCAGGTGTTCCCATTCCAGGTGTCTCCATTCCCATTCCAGGTGTTCCCATTCCAGGTGTTCCCATTCCAATTCCAGGTGTTCCCATTCCAGGTGTCTGCATTTCAATTCCAGGTGTTCCCATTTCCATTCCTGGTGTCCCCATTCCCATTCCAGGTGTTCCCATTCCAGGTGTCTCCATTCCAATTCCAGGTGTTCCCATTCCAGTTGTCTCCATTCCAATTCCAGGTGTTCCCATTCCAGTTGTCTCCATTTCAATTCCAGGTGTTCCCATTTCCATTCCTGGTGTCCCCATTCCCATTCCAGGTGTCTCCATTCCCGTTCCAGGTGTTCCCATTCCAGGTGTCTCCATTCCAATTCCAGGTGTTCCCATTTCCATTCCTGGTGTCCCCATTCCCATTCCAGGTGTTCCCATTCCAGATGTCTCCATTCCCATTCCAGGTGTTCCCTCCCCATTCCACGTGTCCCCATTCCCATTCCTTCTGCCCCCATTCCCATTCCTAGTGTCCCCAGTCTGTTCCCAATGTCCCCATTCCAATTCCAGGTCTTCCCATTTCCATTCCTGGTGTTCCCATCCCATTGCTATTGTCCCAATCCCATTCTTTATGTCTCCATTCCCATTGCAGGCATTCTCATTCCCTTTCCAGGTGTTCCATCCCATTCCAGGTGTCACCGCTGACATTTCCCCTGCTGGTTTACCATTAAACCAGCACACCAGGTCTGTGCCCAACGGGGGTCCCTGTGGATCATCCAACGCGGGTCCTCCCATGGCGGATGGAGTTGGAGCAGCGGCCGAAGCTCTTCCCGCAGTCGGGGCACTCGGGGCTTCCATTACTGGTGGGTCCGTGGGTGGGAGGTCAAGGAAGAGCTCTGCCTGAAGCTCTTCCCACCCTCCCCACAGTGGAAGGGCCTCTCCCTGATGTGGAGGCGACGGTGGGTGTAGAGGGTGGAGCTGTCCCACATTCCCTACACGTGTAGGGCTGTTCCCCAGTGTGGATGTGCTGGGGGCTGAGCAGCCTGGGGCTTGTGCTGAAGCTCTTCCCACATTCCAAGCACTTGTAGGGCCATTCCCTGGTGTGGATGCAACGTTGTTTGCAAAGGCTGGAGCTGTCCCTGAAGCTCTTCCCACACTCCGTACACGTGTAGGGCCTTCCCCACTGTGGATCATCTGGTGTCAGAGCAGGTGGGAGCTCCGAGTGAAGCTCTTCCCACATTCCCCACACGTGTAGGGCCTTTCCCCACTGTGGATCACCTGGTGTTGGAGCAGGTGGGAGCTCTGAGTGAAGCTCTTCCCACATTCCTCACACATGTTGGGCCTTTCCCCACTGTGGATCATCTGGTGTCGTAGCAGGTCGGAGATGTGAGTGAAACTCTTCCCACATTCCTCACACATGTAGGGCCTTTCCCCACTGTGGATCATCTGGTGTTGGAGCAGGTTGGAGCTCTTCCTAAAGCTCTTCCCACACTCCCCACACGTGTAGGGCTGTTCCCCACTGTGGATGCGACGGTGGTTGCGGAGGGTGGAGCTGTGCCTGAAGCTCTTCCCACACTCCGCACATGTGTAGGGCCTTTCCCCACTGTGGATCATCTGGTGGCTGAGGAGGTGGGAGCTCCGTTTGAAGCTCTTCCCACACTCCCCACACGTGTAGGGCCGTTCCCCAGTGTGGATATGCTGGTGCCTCAGGAGGTCGGATCTCTTGCTGAAGCTCTTCCCACATTCCAAACACCTGAAGGCCTTTTCCCTGCTGGGAGGCTGCTCAGGGACCACCAGCTCGCAGCTCCGCCTCAAGCTCCGGCCGCCTTCCCGGCACACGCTGGCTCTTCCCTCCTCACAGCCCCCTGGGCTGGCTTTGGAGCCCCTCCTGCGGGGGCATCTCCGGCCCTTTTCCTCCCTGCTGCCTTCCTGCGCCGGGGAGCCCTTCAAAACGACCTCTCCCACCAGGCTCTGCCGCCGGGATTTGTCCTCCGCGCTCTCCGGCCTCACCTCGGGGCCTGGGGCAGGAAGCAACAAGGACACGCAGGGGATTTACCTTCGGCCCACAGGGAACCCAAGGACATCCCCCCAACTCCGGCCCCAGCAGGAGGGCCACAAAAGACAAAAGACTGACCCAAAGGGGCACTGACTTCCTCCTCACCTGCCTGGGGGGCCCACGGCATCTTCCTCTTCCTCGCAGCCTCCTCCTCCATCCGCCCAAGCTTTGGGAAGCAGAAATTCTGCTTGGGGGGGAAAAACAAGGGGTGAGTGCGTTGCCTTGGGGGTTCCTCCTGCCCAAGTTCAGCTCTAGGACTCACTGGGCATCTTGTGCCCATAAAAACCCCAAAACAACAACATTCAACCCAAAGACCCCTCCCAGGAGTTCCCCCTCTCTACTCTGTGGGGTTAGGGGGGTCCCCCCTGTCTGGTCTGATGGCACTTCTGCCTGCATTGGGGGTCCCCCTTCTCCGGGCTGCCGGGGGTCCCACTGCTCCGGGGGATTCCCACCCGCTGGGGTCCCTTTTAGTGCTGCCAGGGGGGTCCCAGGGCTCCCTTCTCCCCACTCGGCCTCCCGGGGCCGGCCGGCCCTCCTCTCTCGCCTCCCACCCTCGCAAACCTCTTGGCGCTCTCGGCTCCCACCCCGCCTCAAGGCCCCCCCTCCTCTCCACACTCCAAGGCCTTCCCCCTCTCCGGGACCCCCGCTTAAGGGGCCCGACGTTCCCTCTCTGCTCCCCCCCCTCCAGCATTCCGGGGGTCCCCCAGCTCCGGGATCGCCCCTCTCCGCTCTCCCCACTCCGCGGCTACCGGGGTTCCCCCCCGGCTCTCACGGGGGGCCCCCAAACCGCTCTCGCCCCCCCCGCCATTGCCGAGCCACCCCCAGGACCTTTGGGCTGCTCTTCTTTGTGCTCCCGCTCGGCTCCTCCCTCGGCTGGGCCGCCGCTTTTGGCAGGTTTCCTCCTCCGGGATCCACCTCCTGCAGCCCTTCCCCCCCTGGCCCAGCCCCCTTGGGCCCCCCTTGGGCCCCCCTTGCCCAATAAGTCTGATTATACAGACAAGCAATTGGTTTTAATCCACAAAACCCAAATGTAGAACCCAGCACCCTGGGCCATGAACAAAGTGCTGTTCCTTGGGCCCCCCCCGAGTCCAAAGTAAAGGGAGAGGGGAAAAAAACCTGCTGGTGAGAGAGCTGTTGCAGTCTGGTCAAAAGTGGGGATTGCAGTCCAGTTGAGGGGGGTGGTCTCAGGCTGGTTGAGAGCGGTGAGCTGCAGTCCTCCTCTGGATCCCACGAGTGGTAAAAAAGTTCTGAAACTCCAGGTTTATATATTCTCCAGTTCAGGCAGGAATGCCCAGTCCTCCCCTCACAGCGGGCAATTCCATAAAAGGATGCTTAGTTCTTCCCTCAGAGCGGGCAATTCCATAAAAGGATATGAGGATGTTCAGTCCATAAAAGGGTAGGAGGGTGCTCAGGACATCCCCCCCACCTCGCAGGCCTCTCCTGACAACAGTTCCTGGGAAAATGGCATGGAAGACCATAGAATCCACAGTTTTGGGCTGCACCCATCCAGTGAGGAATCGGTCCCAGCTGTTCTAACTAGGACACTGTGTCCCTCATCGCTGCCATCATCATCATCATCGACCTCGTGGGAGTCGGTGTCTGGAAGCTCCGATCCGGTAACTCCCAGGATGGGGGTCGGGAAGGGGCACGGATCCGCCCGGCAGCATTCCGGGGATCCTGTGCCACGGGTGCTGATCCCGCTTTCTTTCCATAGGGAAGAGGGAGGGGAATGGATACGACCCCGCGCCCACCAGTGAGTCCCAGCAGCATGTGTGGATCCAGATCCTCTGGGCAGGGATCCCAGGATGGAGGCCGGGATTCCAGAGGGGAATGGGGGCCTAATGGCTGGAGTGGGATTGGAAGGGGATTCCAGCTCAGGGCAGGATTCCAGAGTGGGATCGGGTGGAATTGTGGACTGGGATCAGGACTGGATTCTGGAGTGGGATTGGGGTGGGAAGGATGAAGTGGGATTGGGGTGGGATGGACAGAGCAGGATCAGGTGGGATTCCAGAGCAGTTCCTACTCTCCCTGGACTCCACAGCCGGCTCCATCCCCTGGGATGGGAACAGGGACATGGTGACTCCTTTCCCCACTCTCATCCCAGCAGGAATCACAGCCTGAGTGATCCTGGAGCTGGATCCGCCCCTTCCCTCTCCCTGTGGAAAGGCAGGAGCTGCTGGTAGAGCTCATCCCGCTGCTCCCACCCAACCCGGCCCCCCTACAGCTCTTCCCGATGGATCAACTTCCTGCTTTTTCCCGTGTGAAACCCAGGACCACAATTATTCCTGAGGTTTTAATTTGGGTGTGAAAATCTCCTGCTTTGGGCAATAAATCCTGGCTCCCTCCTCCGGCATCCGGCAGTTCCTCTGTGGGAACCAGGAATAGGAATGGGGACAGGGGGGAATGGGATGGGGACATTGGGGACAGGGATGGGGGCACCGGGAGCAGGTTGGGGACAGCAGGAATGGGAATGGGAACTCCAGGAATGGGAATGGGGACATTGGGAGCAGGTTGGAGTCACCAGGAATGGGAATTGGGACACCGGGAATGGAAATGGGGACATGGGAGACCAGGATAGGGATAGTCGGGACAGGAACGGGGACCCTGGGAGCAGGTTGGCACAGCAGGAAGTGGGAATGGGGAGAGGGATGGGAACCCCAGGAATGGGAATGGGGACAGGGATGGGAAAGTGTCTCTCCAGGAGTTGGTTCAATACAAAGGTCGGTCCCTGGCTCGAGGCCACGGGAAGCCCCTTCTTTGGGAATGTCTGGGAAGCAGGTGTCAGAGGTTTGAAAAGAGGTGTTGGAATTGTTTCCCAGTGTCCCCCCCATTGCCATCTGTGTCTCCCGGGATGGGGTGGGTTGGAGCGGAGCCGCAGGCGCTGGGCAGGGGCAGTGGGGGGAGGGCGGCTCTCGGGGACACCGCGGTGGCCGCGGGGAGGGCGGGGGGTCCTTTGTTCGGGGGCTTTTGGGGTTTGTCCGGGACCGGACAGAGCGGGAGCTGGTTTTGGCCACCTTCTTCTCTTTTCCTGAGAGGAAGTTTTTTCCCCATGGGACACCTCGTGGAGAACGACAGAGAGAGAGAGAGAGAGAGAGAGAGAAAGAGAGAGAGAGAGAGAGAGAGCCCGACCCATCTGGGAGCGAGGTGTTCTGCTTTGGGGACTGCCCCTGGGAAAAGGGACTCCTTCACTGCTGGCTGCGAGCACACGGGGCTGCGAGAGCTTTGAACTGCCGGGACAGTTTCTCCCCCCCACCTGGGCATTTGGGACTTTGTTTGGTTTCTTCTGAAAGTTTTTGGTTGCACCATTTGTTGTTTATTCAGATTTTGTCAATAAAAAGCTGTTTCTTTTCCACACTTCCACCTGAAGTCTCTTAATTTCTAAGTTGTAATCTTGTTGAACTAAGACCCAGTACAACCAAAAATGCCGGGAAAAGGGGGATTGGGCATCCTCAGTCCCCCATCTCCCTCTTGTTTGGGGCAACTCTGAGCTCCGGGACAATTTATCCTCTGTTTGAGGTTCCCCTGATCTGTGGGAGCCCTGGGTGGCTGGTTTGGGGTTGCCCTGAGCTTTGGGAGCCCTGGATGGGCACTTTTGGTGGGCCCTGAGCTCCCCCCTCCTCCGCAGCCCACGGACCCCCCCGAACCCCCCAGCCCCGGGGCTGCCGCGGGGGCCCCCAACGGCCCTCAGCCAATCCCAAAGCGCCCACGCCGCCCGCGCCCAATCCCAGCGCGCCGCGCTGATGACTCATCAGTCGCCGGGAAGACGCCTCGAAAAAAGGGCCCCAACTGCGCCCTCAGCCAAGCCCAGCGCGCCCCAAACCCCCCAAAACGGCGCCGCCCGGCTGGTTTGGGGCTGTCAGCAGCTGTCCGGCGCTGGGCATGGAGCGTGTGCGGGGAGCTGGGGCCGTGCTGGCGGTGCTGGTGGTGCTGGGAGCCCCTCCGGCTGCGGGCGAGGAGCTGTCGGGTGAGCGGGGGGGCGGGAAGGGAGTCGGGTGGGAAAGGGGGGGGAAGAGGGGAGAAAAGAGGGGTTGGGAGCCCCAAAAGTGAGTGGGAGGGGGGTTGGAAGGCCCGGAGTGAGTGGGAGGTGGGTGGGAGCCCCAAAGTGAGGTTGGGGGGGTCTGGAGATTGTGGTACCGGTGGGAAAGGGGTGGGAGAGGGGGGCAAGCGGGTGTGGGAGAGCAGGCAGAGGGGTGCCCTGGGGGTTCCTGGGTGTCCCTTGAGCCCTGGAGCGGTTCCCTGGTGCTCTGGGGGGTGGGATCCGCATTGGGGGGTCCCCAACCTCCCTGTCCGTCCCCGGGGGGCTGATGGGGGGTTCCCCCCCAGCCAAGAGCCGGTGCTGGGGCGTCCGTGGGGCAGAGGGGGGTGGGAAAGGGGGGTCCGGGGTGTCCCCCTGAGCTCCCAGCCTGCTGTGGGGGACTGGGGGATGATGGGGGGCACGGGGCACCCCTTGTCCTGTGTCCTGCACACACAGGGGTGTTTCAGGAGATGTTAAAGTTCGAGTGTCACTTCATCAACGGCACCGAGCGGGTGAGGAACGTTCTGAGGAAAATCTACAACCGGGAGCAGTACGTGCACTTCGACAGCGATGTGGGGGTGTTTGTGGGGGACACCCCGTACGGGGAGAAGTTTGCCAAGAAATGGAACAGCGACCAGGAATGGCTGGAGTATGCACGGTCTCTGGTGGACACGTGCTGCCCTCAAAACTACAAGCTGTACACCCCGTTCAGCGTGGAGAGGAGAGGTGAGCGTGGGGCAGAGCGGGTCGCCTCGGGCCCTGCCCCAGGAATGACCCTGGAGCCCCTCAAACCTTCCCTGCGAATCACCCCAGACCCCTCAGCCCTCCCTGTGCCCGTCCCGTGGCCTTTTGCCCCCTCCCAGTTCTTCCCAGTCCATTCCAGTCCATTCCAGTCTCTCCCAGTGCCCCCCCCCGTCTCTACCCCGATGGGGCCACCGAGCTCACGCCTCTCAGCCAATCCCAGCGCGTCTCTCTGATGACGCTCCAGTTGCCAGGCAGACCCAAACCAAAGAGTTCCCTCACCACGACTCAGCCTCCCAGGCCGGATCACTTCCTTCCCAGTCCAGAGTAGTCCATCCCAGTCCTTCCCAGTCACTTCCAGACCCTCTCGATCCGTTCCCAGTCGTTCTCACTTCACTCCCACATCTCCCAACTCTCTCCCCAGTGCCCCCCCCAGCCCATCCCCTTCTCCCCCACTCTATTCCCAGTCCCTCCCACTGCCATCCCAGTCCCTCCCAATGTCCTCCAAGCCCTCTGCCCTCCCTCCCAGTGCCCCCCAGCTCAGCCCAGTGTCCCAGGGCAACTGGGAGGGAGTTTGGTGGGTGCTGGGGGTGATAGGAGGGGTGTTGGAGGGTCCTAAAGGGTCTGGGAGGGGCTGCGTGGGATCCCTGCAGGGACTGGGAAGGGACTGGCAGGAGGTTTCAGGGACCCCCGGGTGGGCTGGGGGAGAGCGGGCCGGGCTCTGTGGGGTGCCGGGTGGTGCGTGGGAGGAGGTTTTGGGGGTGCTGACCCCCCCGGCTCCCCCCAGAGATGCCACTGGACACCGTCCGCAGCAAGATCCTGGTGGGGGTCAGGGGCTTCGTCTTGGGCTTGGTCTTCCTGGCGCTGGGGCTCGGCTTCTACCTGTGGGAGAAGGTAAAGGGGGGTCCCCAAATGGGGGTCATGGCTCCCCCCTTGCTCTCCCACAGCCTCTGGGCCCCCCCTGCCCCCTCAGCCCTTTTTCTCTCACCCCCTTTTCTCTCCCCACAGAGCTCCTGAGCCACCGGCGGCCGCAGCCCCTCCCCGTGGCCTCGGGCCCAGCCGGGACCCCCCAAACCCTGTGCTCATTTGGGGGGTTCGCCTGTCCTGTCCTTCCCTGCTTTTCTTCTCACCCCACCCAGCTGTTCCCAGTGTTCCCAGTAAAGCTTCTCAGTGCTCTGCAGTCCTGGGTGTTGGGGAGAAGTGGGGGGGGCTCTGAAAATCCTGGGAACGGGGGGGTTTGGGCATATCCAGTCCCCAGAAATGATGGAGAATGGTTTGGGCAATCCCAGACCATAAAACTCCTGGGAACAGGGGGGGTTGGGCACATTCCAGCTCCTCAAATCTTGGAAAAGAGGGGTGTGGGCACCATCAGTGTTTGAAAAACACAGGAACAGAGGGTTTGAGAACATTCAGACTCCAAAAGTCTTGGGAACACAAGTGGTATGGGCTCTCCTACACCCTAAAAATCCCAAGGACAGGGGGGTTGGAGAACTCTTAGACCCCCAAATATTGAAAAACAGGGGCTTGGACATTCCCAGACGCCATCAAAATCCTGGGAACAGGGGGTTCGAGCACTCCCAGACATTAAATATTCTGGGAACAGGGGGGGGTTGAGCACTCCCAGAACCAAAAAATCCTGTATAAGAGAGGTTTAAGCACTTGCAGACCCAAAAAATTGTCAGAACAGGGGAACTAAGGCACTGAGAGGCCCCAAAAATTGTGAGAACAGGAGCACTGAGATAAAAATATCTGGGGAATATGGGGGTATGGGCTCTCCTAGACCTTAAAAGTCACAGGAACAAGGTGATTAGGGCAGTCCCAGACTCCAAAATATTAAAATATAGGGGTTGGGACATTTCTGCATCAAAAGCTTTTGGGAATAGGGGGGTTTGGGCACTCCCAGACCCACAAAATCCTGGAGAAAAGTGGTTTGGTCACATGCAGAGCTCAAACAACCTGAAAACAGGGAGGTTTGTGCAATGTCAATCCACCCCAAACCCCAAAATACAGGATTTTGGAGTATTCAGGCCCCAAAAATCATGGGAACATGGTGGTATGCCTCTCCTAGACCTTAAAAACAGCCAGGACAGGAGGTTTGAGGCACTCCCAGAGCCCAAAAGATTGGAAAAGAGGGGCTTAGATACTCCTAGACTACAGAAAACAGGAGGATTTGGGCAAACTCAGACCAAAAAATCCTGTGAACAGGGGGGTTAGGGCACTCTCAAATCCGCAAAATCCTGGAGAAAGATGCTTTGGACACATCCAGAGCTCAAAAATCCCGGGAATAGGAGGGTTCCTGCACTCCCAGAACTACAAAATCATGGACAAAGGTGGTTGGGGCACATCTAGACCCTAAAACCCCTGTGAACAGGGGGGTTGGGGCACTCCCAGACCCACGAAATCGTGGAGAAAGGTGGTTTAGGCTGTCCCAGAACTACAGAATCTGGGAAAAGATGGGGGTTATTGTCGCTGATAAGTGTCGGAACGGCCAAAGCGACACAAAAAAAGGTTCCAGCAAAGTTTATTCCAAGAAAAAAGCAGGGACAACCGGGGCTGCTGCGCAGCCCCTTAAGTACAGTTTTTGAACACACGTAATGCACATGGATAGGACAGTTCAAACTTTCACACCAGAATTCTTACAGCTAATAGGTGCATTTTCTAAACTCTACTTTCTCACAACAACTTTGCTCTTTCTCAAAACAGCCCAGTTCTTTCCCACAACAGTCCCGAGCACCTGCTCTTATTTTTCTCTCATGTTGATGTTCTTCCCAACCACTCTCGTTCAAAACAGGTCCTTGTTCTCATGAGACAGTGCTCCTGTTCTCATGAGACAGTGTTCTCTGTTCACAGCTTCTTCAGGATGCATCAGTATGTTGTCAGGATCAGGGCCTCCATTTTCAGTCCTCTCTTTTCAGTCCATCTCAGGGGTATACTTTGATCTGGTCAACATCTATTGCTTCATCAGTATGTGCCAAGGTGCTGACAGACCCGCTGTCACCCGTGACAATTCCCCCTTTTTTGTATTTGTGCGACAAAGATGGCCTTAACAGTCTGTTGCAGGGCCCTTTGCAACAGGCTGATCAAGCAAGGCATCAGTATCGACAACCCCTGATTCAAAGCTAAGAAGAAATGCAGCATTTCCCAATGAGGATGGATAACAACACTTCACCAAGAAAAAAGAGAGTTCATCTACCATCTAGAATAAGGACGCACTATGGTCCGACAGATTCATGTAACACATTCCTTTAAAATCTTGACACTCATGTAAAGTATTTTTTAAGTCTACACACATATATATCTACACAGTTTCTCTCTCTCATACAATCTTTTTCCAGTCATTCATTGGTGGCCACCTCAGTCACACTTCACTCACACATAGCTGGAATTTCTATTATACTTTTACATTTTAATTACACACTTTATATTTTAAGTAGTTATTGACTGTGTACTTCTCAGTTTGTCATCTTTGGCAGTCACGTCCAACAACTGTACCCGGCCTGAAAAGGAATACATACAAGGAACATAAGGCCTAACAAATTTAAATGAGATCTACTCCGATTTAGCATCTGTTTATGCACCTGCATGGTCTCTTTCCCCCCTTTTTATATTTTAAAATGTTCATTTGATGTGTAAAATGTTTTCTTGACAACAATTTGTCCTATAAGTGAGTTAGGAATCTCTGTATAATTGTTTTAGCTCTGGAAAACCAGCAAATTACAACATTACTTGTCTTTACAGTTTTTCAAAACTTCCTAAATTGTGGAGAATTAAACCAATGTCTGAGTTGCATGAGTAATGTGTGATTGGCAGCAACACATGATTTCTGTCTATAGTCGGTACCTAGAAAAATGAATAGATAAATCATTATTACAGTCTGCTAATACAGCTTGAAATTCAGGGTCTTCTGTGAGAAGTCAGTCCAAGTCGTCTCTGATGTCTGGGACGTAATTGACTCTCAGCTCTTGTTCATCTGCTTCTTTTAGTTGTTCTTCACCTTTAATAAAAAACTCACAAATTTGTTATTAATAGTTCAGTCAGTTTTAAGTGGGTATCATGGGTAATTTTGCAGTTTTTCTTTGAAACTGAAGGCCTAGTGATGATTCTTTGCAGTATAATTCTCTCTGTAGGAGATAGGTTATATGGCTTGGTTTTATGAATCTTTTCCTGGAGCATTCTTCAATCCTGCTTCTCAAAGAACATTGGTTAGAACAATCACATTTAGTTTTTGCTCATCTTTTTAGGTCTCTAACTTCTGTATTTACTTTTACTTTGCTTTTATCATTTTGAGCAGCATTTTATCATATTGTACTGCAGAAAAATTCTCTCCTATTGTAAAGGAAAACACTGAATTTCAGGAAGGTCACTGTAACTTCAATAAAAGCAAATAGCAGCTTTCATTATGAAGAAACAATTGACCGTTCAAAATCCCAGCATATGGAAATCTTTCAGAGGATGGGATTACTGATTTTTATAAGGTCTCAGTTGCATAATTGGATTAAATATAGTTTTGTATCTTTTACTTTTCTATTATCAAGCCACACATGGCTTGTGATTTGAACAGGATTCACAAATTCATAGGGCAGATTCCTGCCTCTCTGAATGTAAAAATGAAACTGGAGAACAATCATGTCCTTTTAAAACTTAAGCAGTCTCACCCAGCCTCTGAAACGATATGATCAGCTAGAATTTATAAGCAGCTAATTCTGAATTTTTACTGATATTTATATATATATTTCTGGGATATGCCTGAAAACTTTAAACATCTTATTTAAACAAAATAACAAAATAACAGTTTAACTTATATCGATGTATTTAAGAAGTTAACACTCTTAAAGTAGCTCTCAACTTTAGCAATTTACATAAAGCCACAGTAAAACTCACTCAGGCTGCTTTAAACTAGGGTTTTGCTCATAAGAGTATACCAGGGGATCCAGAATGCACACCTTGCAAAGCAGCAACAGTTCTGGTTTAAGCTTGTCACCTGATAACAGGGACACACCTCTGCTGCTTAGCACAGAGACTAGGACAGATGCAGTTTAAACTTGAAACACTGTCTGTTGTTAGGCAGTTTCCTGTATTATAACTTTAGATTTTATCTCTCTTTCCACAAAGGTGGAAACTTTCAGCTAGAAACAGTTTATTTATTTTTCCCTTTTTGCTCTGGCAAAAACTGCCCCTGTCAAATAAGATATTTTTGAGCTAGGTATTCCACCAAATAAGTCTACCTTAAAGCTAACTGTAAAATACAGAAGCAACAAAAGAATGTTTACAGAGCTGTTTGAGCAGGGGGGGGAGAGGGAAGGTAGAGCAGCCGTGCTTAGAGCTCTGCCGGAGAACCGCTCCCCCCACATGCATTGGAATTTTCTTATCACAGACAGTTGTCAGCAGTTACTTTAAAAACTCTATTTCTCCATTACATTTATGTATGTATTTTAAAACAAGTTTGCTTATTTTAATGAACAACTTCAGAAAACAGTTAGTGAGACTATGTTATGAAATTGTAAGACAATTTCTTTCTCCAATCAGAAGGTTACAAAGTTGCAATTTCTACAAAGTAGGATATTTGATTCTCCTCCCAGCTCTGAGGGAGTGAATAAAGTTTCTGCTTAGTTACCAAGCAACAGACCATCTCTATCATGTGAAATACACTCTGTTTCTTTCCCTGGCAAGGCTGAATCTTTTCAAGGGAAGGCTTTTTACTTTCCTTTTTCCTTTTTCTCCTGGCAAAAAACTTTGTTTCTTCACATACACACACACAGTAACAATAATATTGTGAGCTCACGAAAAACACATTCCACAGACACTGCAGTTAACACAAGAATTAACAGAAATATCAGAAGGCAGTTTTTTTGCCCCCCTTTTTCTTCCCCCCCCAGTAGGGATCGTCATCTTCAGGCTTCCATGACACCAAACTTGATTTGTTGCATATTTTTCTGTGTTTTATCTTACACACATTGTGAGACTGAAACAGCCAATTAGTACATGAACAAAAAATAGGTAACTCAGGCTGCGAAGAAGCAAGAAAAGGAGGTAGATGCTGACTTTTAAGTTCAAAGGCTTATACAGGGACGGGCTTTGCTGTCTTGTTTTCTACCCAGCTCCCGTTGTTCTAATTTATCTCTGTCCCTCTTCATTCGCTTATATATCTTGATTTGAATTTCTTTTCTTAGTTGTTTTCTTGGTGGAGTTATCTGGTGGGAAAACTGCTTTTTCTGCAGCAGTGGCAATGGAGAGGGGGGGTCCTTACTTCTTTTCTGTCTCCGGGAGTGAATTATTAAATTTTTCTGCATTTTTTTTGCTTGGAGGTGTAGTTCAAGGACAATTTGTTACATCGGCAACCTGCTTATCTTTCTGGGCAACTGCGTTTCAGAGTTTTAGTTCTTATATGAATTATTGCATAGATCGTTGCCTCCCATACTCTTCTAAATCTTTCAAAGTCTCACGGAGCAAGTGTTAGGCAAACACATGAAATGCAACTTAACGTAGTAGCTTCAAAGCCTTATTTTCAGTACTATAACAGCACACGTCGTAAATTAAATTCAACAACCTTGACATTCTTTCGGTTTAAGAGGGATTTCCATGTGGATAGAACCACACTTTCCTCCTTCGTTATGTGCTGTCCCCTTGTTAAAATATAGTCCCCGGTGGCACCCCCGTTAGCTTACCTAATGAGGGTCAAAAAATTCAGGTCCGGACCATTTCGCGGGAACCCCCCGCTCTCAAGCTTCACCGGGCTCCGTTCCCCCTGTGCCTCGCCCCACAGGTCCAATCTCTCTCTAGGAGAGAAAATCCTCTGCTCTTTCCCCCTCTAGGAGGGAAGTCACGGCAGCTCCGCAATTGGAGATACATCCGTCTTCAACGTTGCAATCACGTCGGCGTCGCCAGATGTCGCTGATAAGTGTCGGAACGGCCAAAGCGACACAAAAAAAGGTTCCAGCAAAGTT